AGGCACTTGAGTTTGAATGTCATATGGCAAATGAGGGGTTGTGGGAAGTGACATTAGGAAATAAGGGTTGGGTTGTGGACTTTAGAAAAAAGTCATGCAGTTGTAAAAAATTGGACATGACAGGAATACCATGTACACATGCCACTTATGCACTTATGTCTGAGCACAAAGATGTAGAGGATTATGTGAGCCCTTATTTCTCTGTTGACAACTACAAGAAGGCTTACAGTTATACTTTGACTCCTCTGGCAGACCATTCACAATGGTCAATTCCATCAACACAAGCTGAATCACTGCCAATCTTGCCACCTCCATTCAAAAAACAGACTGGCAGACCAAGAAAAATGAGAAAGAGAGGATATGATGAAATCAGTGTTGGAGGCAAAGTGACAAGACAATGAACTGTGCAAACATGCTCAATCTGTGGTGATATCACTCACAACAAAAGAAGGTGCAAGAAGCCTCCTTCACAAAAATCAAGAAGTGCTGAAAGACCAAAGAATGTAGAAAGGCCAAGAAAAAGAACTAAGGTTATGTGTTTATATTATTATTGATTAATTCATTTAGTACATTTGATGTAGTTAACTAAAGTCAATAATTTTGCAATTGCAGGCACCTTCATCTTCTGTTAGTGCAACCACTTCAACCCCACATCAAAATACAAGAACAAATGTTGCAGGACAATCCTCTACACCAATACAATCCTCTACACAAACTGGTCCTTCTACACAATCCTCTACACCAGCTGGTCCTTCTACACAACCTGTTAGAGGACAAAGTAGCAAAAGACATGGACAAAAAAACAAGAAACCTGGCAAAAAAGGTGGTCCCCATGCTGGAATTGGTAATTGGAATGGGGTGGAAATGTTCAGACCTCCTATGCAGGTATTCTCTCATCATAAATAGACTGTATTTTCAATTTTGAATAAAATATTACTCATTTAAATGCTATGGTGGCAGAGTGGTGCAAATAATGGGTCTCAAGTTCAAGTAAACAATTTTTCAGGGGAAATATACAGGTAACTAATTTATTAAAATGTAACTGATCTTTTATTATACAGTGAATTAATGGTTCATTTTTTTCTCAATAAATGTAGATGCAAGTGCACAATACTAGATTTGGCAATGTGTTCTTCTCCAGCCAGCCAAGATCAAACAGATTTGCTGCCACTTTTGATAATGGAGAAACATGAAATTAAGTGGTATTTTCTGATGTTTCTTAAGATATTGTGTTAATTGAACAAGTTGCTTCTTATGTTAGGTTGTTATTTTGATATTTGGAAGCCTGCAAACTAGTATTTTAATATTTTGGCATGGCTGTGTATTAGCATTTACATTTTGGTGGCTGTGAAGCCTTTATATTTTGGGGTTTGCTATTTAGAACAGACATGGTATTTTGGTATGGCGGTTTAGCCTTTCTATTCAAGTATGAAATGACATTTACTATCTTGCTAATTTCATTGGAAATATTGTAGATACAATGAGTTTCCCTTGTGATATTCTGAGTTCTTTGCAATCAATTTGCATAGGAGTATGAAGATGCTAAACATTGAGAATATCTTCACATATCTCCCTATCTTATTTTTCTTAGAAAATGCACATTCTAGTGTTTGGACTTTTTCTTCCAAGTGCTTGTTTGTTCTTGTCATGTTTAGAATAATTTCATGAAGTTCCTCATTGTACAATTGCAGCTTTTCATTAGCTACCTCCATTGACTTTATCTTTTCATTCTTCTCATCCAAAAATTTTCAACAAGCCTTGCCCAATCTCCAGCCCCTTTGGACAAATCTTAGGCTCCAACCACTGAAAGTACTTGCAACCACTTGATTTTTGTTAAGAAATTAATAGGTATATTTATAAAGTTACAAATACTATTTGTAAATGATGATTGCAATGAATATGATATATTTTCTTATATCCCAGTTTTGACAGCCTGCAAATCTTCTTCCTGGATTGAGAGGAGTCCAAGCTGTTCGAGTTACAACATTTTTATGGCACTTGCATGTTGTGCCTAAAAAATTAGACAAATAGTGTCGTGATTTGTGACATGAATGACAATAATCTTGTGAATTTGAGCTATTACTCGACATTTTTGAATATTTAACAAAAAAAAAAAGGATATCAACGTGCTTTATAAGAAGGAAAAAAGAAGGGAAAAAATGGAAAATGAAGAAATTTAGAGAAAAAATGATGAAGAAAAAAGTTTTTGAAAACCTATATAACCCACACAAACATATATATACTAGTATGAGGGGCAAAAGGGTCAAAAAATGTTCCAACGGGTATAAAAACGGCTAGTAACAGTAAAGTCAATGCGCCACGTCATCATCCACTAACAGATTCGAAATGCAGGGGCCATTTTGTCACGTTTTGTAGTCCAGGGGGTGTTTGCGACAGACCCCATAGTTCAGGGGTGCAAACTGTAGTTTCCCCTAATTAATAATTTATGAAAGTTGTGGATATTAGCAAATAACATACACTAGAACCTCGATAAATTAATAACATCGTTTAAATAATAAAATTTTCCGGTCCTGACCCGGGGATAACGTGCTAAATTAAATTCGCTAAATTTATAAGATAATACACATTCAAAAATTTTAAGAAGCCCCATATAATATATAAATTAATAATGCATAAAAATAATTCTTAAATTACATGGTACAATACATATTTTATAGATCTATGAAAGCTTAATACAATATACTTTAATTGTAGCTTGTTTCGTATTGAAGTTCACATTACCATCAATCTCGTCTGTCACTTTTCTTAACATGGTTAGAATTTTCGGTATAGTTTTCTCATAACTCAACATAAAATCGTTCTATACCATTGCTGCTCTAAGAGCTTCAGTTTATGAAACAAGCTCTGTAGTGCATTGAACTAATGGTACAATGAATAATATACACGTTAATTTAAAAAAAAAATGTATTTATTGAAAATAATAATAAAAGTAATTTCATAAATTAATAAGTTATTAATTAATGTATAAATTAATAATTATTAATATATCGATAAGTTAATATTTCGCTAAATTAATGAAATTTTGATTGTCCCGACTGTATTAATTTATAGAGGTTTAACTGTACATCGAAAATAAACTTCAGTAATTATTTAGGTAGTGTTTGTAAAAGTTTATTCAAAAGTAGAAGTTAGTGATTGTGAATTGAGTGGGTATCAAGTGTTTATATGTAAAAGTTGGGGATGTTTGCAAATATTTTGGAAAATCAATTTAAATAGAAAAGGTAAGTCTGGCGGTGCTTTTATGAAATAGCTTAAAACCGCTCATTTTAAGAGAAGAAAAAAACAAAAATTGGTTTTGCAAACACTTGCAAACAGATTCAGAAGTTGTTTCTAAAAGCTTTTGCAAACAATGTCTTAGAAGTTGACGTGTTTGCAAATAGTGAAATGCCTAAATTGTCCTAAAAAATAATACTCCCTCCGTTCCCTATTAAGTGTCGTTTTTTGCTTTGCACAAGGATTAAGAAGCTCAATAAATGTGTCTTGATTTTAGGTAAAATATATTAGAAAGACTAAAATAACCTTGATTATTTAATAATGTGATAAAAGAGAGTTAATACTTATAGTTGAATTAATAAGGTTAAAACAGGAAAAAATGCATTTAATGCAGTATTGGAAATCTAAAGTGACAGATAATATGGAACAAAAATACTTTTAAAAAGAGGTAGTTATATTGTGGAAAAGATGGAGTATTTGAAAAAAAAATAAGGATAAAAATGTCAAATGCATTCATTAGTTCATTACAAAAGTGCTTTTAAATTGGAGAAACAAACTCCAATGCGTTTCTCAATTATGATTTAAAGCAGCATATTTTTTTAAAATCAGAAGCAAAAGTTAGAATTGCACTTATTACTAAGTAAAAAAATAATCATTTGCAAAAGTTTTTTTCAAACACGACCTTAATTAACAAATTAAAAATAATTTGAGAGCAAAGGATGACCTAGTGCAATTAATATGAAATATTGAAAGAATGCCTTTCAGAAAAATAATTAATGTTTTTTTTTTTTTTTTTTTTTTGAGAATTGATGACCAGAAAAATAATTAATGTTGATTACTTTAAAGTAGAGTTTGACGCAATTAAAATGTACCATGGATGTGGATGCTCTAAGTAATTAACAAGTTTTAATACTTGAAAGTATAGTTCCATAAATATTTAGAACAAATAAATTCAATATTTTTAATCGTCTAATTTGCACTAGGGGTGTAAATGAGCCGAGCGTGCCAGATTTTTCGAGCTTGAGCTCAAAGCTCGACTCATCTTATATTTTTTGTTTTGTTTTTATAATTTTTACATATAATTAATTTTAATTGTTTATTATAAATAATTTATATGAAAAGTAAAAAAATTACAGAATAAAGCATTAATCTGTAAATTTTTTTAATATATATGTATATATATATATTTATGATTATATGTTTTATAATTATATATTAGTTATTTTTATATTAATAATATATACACAAAAGCTAGTGAGCTTATGAACGGTTAAAGATGGGCTTAAGCTTGAGCGCAAGCTTTTGTCGAGCCAGTTCATCGAGCTCATAAGCCGGCTCAGCTCATTTACATCCCTAATTTGTACGACTGTATAAACTAATTCTCTATGCAAATAAAAACAGACTTAAAAAAATAAAAAAACTACAATAACAGAATATGTGTTCAAATTTCTAATTTTCCGCTGCCTTCCCGAGAGTGAAATCTGTAAACACAATTTTGCAACCATGATCAAATATTCAAATCTGCTAAAAATACATGTACAATAATGAATTATGCACAGTATCATAATTATATATTTTTTTGTTTCTTGAAAAACCACAAATCCAGCACAAATAATTCTTGAATGAATTTCCGCCGGCGCAACTAAGACACGACGGGGCATCCATCAAACACCACCCCTTTAGCCGTAGGGCAAGAAGCATAAGTGCAGCCATCAAGATTATTCCCCCACCAATCCACACCAATATTCTCCACCCCCAAACACATGTACAAAACCACCCCCATGAACGCAAGCCCCGCATCCAACGCCCCCGACAACACGTAGTTATACCGCCCCCACAAATCGGGCCTATATCTATACACAACAAACCCCGACAAAAACCCCACTATAATCCACGTCGTGTAATTCACGGCGGTTGCTGGCGGCATCGAGCCGGTAGCCCCGATCAAGACCGGCATGTTGATTAGTCGGATCCACTCCTGGTTCGGGAAGGCCTTTGTGGCCAACCATACTAGTAGGGGGGCCACGGCCCCCCCGAGGAAGAACCAATTGACCATTCCGTAAGTTCCTTGGTCCCCGAAAATCTTTCGCGGGCCGATCAAGCCCCAAATCACTGACGCATCGTAGAAGACGTGGTCGCCCGGGCAAGTCCACACGGTATCGGAGGATGTGTCGCAAATGTTGGGGATTGTTTCCATTAGCCACCATGCGGTTCCCAAGTATACGAAAGCGGCTATAAGAGTTCCCACCACCTTCACACACAAAAAACAAAAAAAAAAAGTTTGTCACTCTCGTAAGGCCTTGTTTGGTTGATCTGATGAGATTAGCGAAGATAAGATATTGCAGTTTTGTTAGATTTGAATAATCAAACAACAAATATGAACTGATTATTTGATCAATCATGACTAGGGGTAAAAGTCGGACGCTCGTACTAGAAATAGGAATTTTTGGTTATAATCGGATCAGAAATCGAAAATTGTGTTTCTTTTATATATAATTCTGATTCCAATCCGGTATAGAAAAAAATAGAATTTTGGGAAATCATCGAAAATAAAATTGTTCCCAAATTAGAACTTTTCGGATCGTAACTGACGAAAACTGGAAATCCGGCTCCAATTTTCAACCCTAATCATGACATATTTGCGCAACCAAACAAGGCCTAACAAGTTAAAAAAAAAAAGCAGGAAAACCAACTTCAATTGAGTTTGGATTCGAATACCGACCTGTGCCATGAACATT